TGCTGTCACAATCAGCAATCATATTGTCATAATCTTCAACCATGTTGTCATAATCAGCAATCATGTTGTCCTAATCAGCATTCATGTTGTCATAATCGCAACCATGTTGTCATAATCAGCAATCATGTTATCATAATCAGCAATCATGTTCTCATAATCAGCAATCATGTTCTCATAATCAGCAATCATGTTCTCATAATCAGCAACCATGCTGTCATAATCAGCAATCATCTTGTCATAACTAGCAACCATGTTGTTATAAACAGCAACCATGTTGTCATAATCTGCAACCATGCTGTCATAATCAGCAATCATCTTGTCATAACCAGCAATCATGTTGTCATAACCAGCAACCATGTTGTTATAATATAGCACCTATGTTGGCATGGCTAATACAGGCATGAATATTTTACAACCATACGTCGACCATGTCCTATTGTGTCATTCACATGACATGTATGTGTAAGGATTGCGACTATGTAGTCACATAACGAGTATAATTCATGAGTGTTGTTATATATTGTTGAACCTTCACTTAATATATATCGCACATATTATAGATATAGTTTCACATCCATAATCTATGTTGTAGAAGTACGTGTGTTAATTAATGACACAAATCTAATATAACAACGCTTCTTCTATATTGCAGGCGTTCGAGACAATTGATTTAGTGAAATTTCGATATGTGAAACTTACATTGTGACATATATAGTAGTCTGATATGATGAATTAAAAAGTGCACAAAATTAATCTTTCGACTCTGCCTTGGTGCCCAAATAAAATCAATGTCTTTCAAGCATCATTTCATTATACGCATGAAAAATTGTTTTTTTTTAATTTTTCAAAGTATAGAATTTCTGGATTTTGACCATATCTCAAAGTATTGATTTTGCTTTATTTATTTTTAATGTTATGATTACGTGATAGACTTATACGATACATTTCCACACACAATAATAATATTAAGTGTGTTTCATTCTATTCAAATATATAGAAATAATTTGACCACTCAGAGTGTTTATTTCGTACATATACAAATATGTTAGCAAGTTATTGTAGCGAAACAACATCCTTTCTCTGACAGTATTTGTAACATCTATGCCATAGACACTTTGCAATGAAATTAAAGAGTTCACATAAAGTCATAATACTTGCTCCAATAAATATACCGAGTTGTCCACCCACATCACCTGAAACAAAATGAATCTTTGATTTAGGAATAATTACTAATTACTATGTATGGTGTAGTGTGAGTATGTATACTATGCATGGTGTAGTGTAAGTATGTATACTATGTATGGGGTAGTGTAAGGTAAGTATACTATGTATGGTGTAGTGTAAGGTAAGTATATATACTATATATGAATTAGTATAAGTATGTATACTATGTATGGTGGAGTGTGAGTATGTGTACGATGTATGGTGTAGTGGAAGTATGTATACTATGTATGGTGTAGTGTAAGTATGTGTACTATGTATGGTGTAGTGTAAGTATGTATACTATATATGAATTAGTATAAGTATGTATACTATGTATGGGGTAGTATAAGTATGTATGTATACTATGTATGGTGTAGTGTGAGTATGTGTACGATGTATGGTGTAGTGTAAGTATGTATACTATGTATGGTGTAGTGTAAGTATGTATAATATGTATGGGGTAGTGTAAGTATGTATACTATGTATGATGTAGTGGAAGTATGCATACTATGTATGGGGTAGTGTAAGTATGTATTCTATGTATGGAGTAGTGTAAATATGTATACTATGTATGGTGCAGTGTAAGTATGTATACTATGTATGGTGTAGTGTAAGTATGTATACTATGTATGGTGTAGTGTAGTATGTTTACTATGTATGGGTGTAGTGTAAGTATGTATACTATGTATGGTGTAGTATAAGTATGTATACTATGTATGGTGTAATGTAAGTATGTATACTATGTATGGTGTATTGTAAGTATGTTTACTATGTATGGTGTAGTATAAGTATGTTTACTATGTATGGTGTAGTATAAGTATGTATAATATGTATGGTGTAGTGTAAGTATGTATACTATGTATGGTGTAGTGTAAGTATGTTTAATATGTATGGTGTAGTGTAAGTATGTATACTATGTATGGTGTAGTATAAGTATGTTTACTATGTATGGTGTAGTGTAAGTATGTATACTATGTATGGTGTAGTATAAGTATGTATAATATGTATGGTGTAGTGTAAGTATGTATACTATGTATGGTGTAGTGTAAGTATGTTTACTATGTATGGTGTAGTGTAAGTATGTATACTATGTATGGTGTAGTATAAGTATGTATACTATGTATGGTGTAATGTAAGTATGTATACTATGTATGGTGTATTGTAAGTATGTTTACTATGTATGGTGTATTATAAGTATGTTTACTATGTATGGTGTAGTATAAGTATGTATAATATGTATGGTGTAGTGTAAGTATGTATACTATGTATGGTGTAGTGTAAGTATGTTTACTATGTATGGTGTAGTGTAAGTATGTATACTATGTATGGTGTAGTATAAGTATGTATACTATGTATGGTGTAATGTAAGTATGTATACTATGTATGGTGTAGTGTAAGTATGTATACTATGTATGGTGTAGTATAGTATGTATAATATGTATGGTGTAATGTAAGTATGTATACTATGTTTGGTGTA